AGGAACAATCTCCTGTATCAGTCAGATCTGATTTGATGGTACACACAAAAAAATAATGAAATAAAATTTAAAAGTACAGATGAATGGAATGCTGCCTTTGTTTTACCACCTTTATGTCCCTGTTGCACTAATTTCCAGCAGACATTGTAAAGCTCTTCTGCACCTTTGCTGCCCTCACTCATCACAGCAAAGGCTGGGGTCTGGTGAATCCACTAAGCTGCGATATCCACCAGCCACATGTTTCTTTTCTTTTTAAAAAAGGATTTAAAAATTGTATATAACCTTGTAACCTATTGGTTTTAGCATATACTTGGATATATTTACAGCATATATAAATATGCATATAGAACTATCACTTGACAAACTTATGTATGGCCATGAGTGTCTAAGAAACCCAAACTCATTACTGTGTAGTCAGAACCAACTATAGCTGATCTTACAATGGGGTAAATCACACGAGAGGAAATTGCCTTAGTGTAGATTTTGCTATTTCAATGAAGATTAATTAAAACTTAAAGAAAAAGTTCTTCAGTTTCACTAACCCTCTATGAGCAGGGTCAATTTAAGATTGAAGCACAAAGTGTACAGGAATCCCCAGAATCTCAACAGTTTAGGGACGAGTATGTCATGGTTTGAGAAGGAAAGGGGGAGAGGCAGGTGGGAAGGGAGAAGAAATGCTAATTGTAAAAGCAGCAGGAATCTTGTTTTATTACATTCACAATGTAATAAATTAAATGAAGAAAAGTAAACCACAATAGGATTTTCACATATAATGAATAACCCATATTAAGCTCACTGTTAAAACTTAAGAGTGTGTTCTTCTCATGTCAGATAACTGTGTACATATTCATCTATAAAGGACAAAGTTACATAGCTGGACCCACAACTTCAGTATTGGGCCCCTGACGTCTTGAAGGAAACCAGCTCAATTTTTCCAGCCAGGCCTGGCCTGGTTGCATCTCATGCTCTGAAATAGGTAAATTCCTCCATGAGTGATCTTGTTGCCAATAAGAAGAAGCCCATGAAGCTGCATTAAGGATGGTGACCAGGGATGGGAAGAAAGGGTAATGCCATCAAGTCATCGACCACGACCTCACTGTGACCCTGTGAACAACGAATATGAACCCAGCCCCATCCTGTGCCATCATCATCCTTGACCTACTTGAGCCCATTGTTAATAGTCACTAGCAATTCATCTTGTTAAGGGTCTAAAAGGTAATAGATATATGTTAAAATAGGGGAGAGGACAGGCAGCATCCAATAAGGCGATGATCAACACAGTGTCACTAAAAGAGAAGACAAAACTATACAAGGATTAATGGGAATCAAAATTCTAGTGTAATCACATTGTATTGAAATTGATGTTATTGAACAAAATGTGTATGAATGGTTGAATGAAAAGTTAATTTGATTCATAAGCTTTCTCTCAAATCGTAGTTTAAAAATAATAGTAGTACAGGTGTGTGTTTGTAAATGCAGATGCCCTGATGGTAGAACATTACACTGAACCTGGGAGGAAGCCAGAACTCACCGCTCCACTCACTCAGCCCTGTTTGCTCCCATCCTTCTTTTATTTCAGATCTCAAGTGTGGTGAAGAGAGAACTACCCTGTCCGGGTTGCTGGGAAGCAGGAGTGAGCATCCTGCACTCCCATAAATCACAGAAGTGCAACTTGGCTGACTGGTGTGTGGACCAAACATTATTCACCTTCCAAACCACCCACTGTTTTCCATCCGTCCTTCTTACTGAAGTGGCTCCTTAGCAGTAAAGACAGCATTCCCTTTGACTTCTAAAAACCGGAGCACTGCCATGGTGAGTGTTATGGATAACTGGATTATTCTTTCTATTAGTGGGTAAGGCTTAATAAAATCGTTAGGGGACTAGCTATGCGCTCTGGGATTTTAGTTCTTCCGGGAAGAAAAGAGGTGGCAAAGGATGCGAAAGACTTGTCTGCCTGTGGCTGCCTTTTGGTGCCTCTCAGAGCTGGCACCACGGAGCATTAACATCCCCTCCCTGGTCGTTGGGTGTTGTGCTGAATGACACAGTCTCTTGACTACAGCCTGAAGACAGAGCAGCTCTGGCCGTGGAAACAAAGCCCCAGGCCCTTCACTGCCATCCTTGTCCCTTTTCTCTTAATAGTTTCCTTGGCTTTCCCAGGCACTGGGGCATTTTATTCTTTACTCATCTTTCCATGTTGTTGTTGTGGTTGTGGTTAGGTGCTACTGAGTTGAGTATGACTCATAGCGACCCTATGAACAACAGATCCGAACCCTGTCCTATCCCGTGCCATCCTTACAATCTCTGACACACTCAAGACCATTGCTACGGACACTGTGTCCACCTAGCTGAGGGTCTTCCTTTTCTTTGCCATCCCTCCATCTTCCCAAGTATGAGGTCCCTCTCTAAGGAATAGCCTCTCCTAGCAACATGCCCAGAATATGAGATGAAGCTTTATCATCTGTGCCTCCAAGGAGCATTCTGGCTGCAAGTTCTCCAAGACATACCTGTGTTTTATTTTATCAGTCCATGAGATATTCAGTACTCTTCTCCAGCACCACAGTTCAAAGACAGCAATTCTTCTGTCATCCTTATTAATTGTCTAGTTCTCAGGTCCATAGCAAATGAGTGAGAAGACCATGTCCTCTGTCAGGTGCACCTTAGTCTTCAGAATGACATCATTGCTCCTCAATAATTTGGAGCAGTCCCTGGCTTTAGATTTTCCCAGTGTAATATTTCTCCTGATTTGCTGGTACATTATTATGTTCTGATCCTGACTGCTGGTACAAAGTATATTGTGGATTCAAGTAAGATGTAGGCATTGACAGTTTCAGTCTTTTCTCCATCTATCGTATTGTTTCCTGTTTGTCTGTGGCAAGGATTTTTGTTTTCCTGATATTGAGATGCAGTCCATGTTAAAGACTGCAAACCATGTGGTGTTCCTTTGTTCTGCTTGCACCACAGCCTCTTGGTATAGGGCATGAGCGCAATTCAGTGTTCTGGGAATCCTGTTCTTCTTAGTGTTAGCCATAACTGGTTATGATCCACACTGTCAAATGGCTTTCTGTATTCAATAAAACAAAAACAGATACTCTTCTGATAGTCTTTACTTTCAGCTAGGAGTCATCACACATCGGCAGTGCCATGGCCTCTTCTAAATCCTGCTTGAACTTCTGGCAGTCCCCCATCTATGTATGGTATTAGCCATTTTTTAAATGATCTTCAGCAGCATGTGATATTAATGATATTGTCCTATTATATCACCTTTCTTGGGAATGGGAACAAATATGGATCTCTTCCAGTCAGTCGGCCAGAACGCTGTCCTCCAAATTTCCTGACCTAGACTGGTGAGTGCACCCAGGGCTGCATCTGTTAGTTGAAACATGTCAATCGGTATCCCATAGGGGCCTTACTTTTTGCCAAAGCCTTCAATGCAGCTTGAACATCTACCGTTGACTCTTGTTCATACGGTATTTCCTGAAATTTTTCAGTGTCAGTCTTTTTGGTAAAGTGACTCTGTGTATTCCCTCTATCTCCTTTTGATGCTTCTTAGGTCATTTAACATATTGCCCATAGCATCTTTCAGCGCTGATTCGAGGCCTAAATTTGTTTGTCAGTTCTTTCAGCTTGAGAAATGCAGAACGAGTTCTTTTCTTTTGTCCTCCAATTCCAGCGCTCTGCAGTTATAATACTTTGTTTTGTCTTCTTAAGATGCCTTTTGAAATCTTCTGTTCCGTTCCTTTACTTTAGCATCTTTTCCGTTTGTTTTGGCTTCTCAACACTCTAGTGCCATTTTCAGAGTCTCTTCAGACATCCATTTTGGTTTTTTTTCTTTCTTCTCTGTCTTTGTAATAACCTTCTGCTTTCTTCATGGATGATATTCTCAATGTCATCCCACAACTCATCTGATCTTCAACCATTGGTGTTCAGTGTTTTAAACCTATTCTTAAGATGATGTTTAATTCAGTGGGATAGAATCAAGATCATATTTTGGTTCTCAAGGATTTGTTTTCATTTACTTTGACCTCACCTTGAACTCCCACATGAGTAATTGGTGTGCACAGTCAGCACCTCACCTGGTTGCACTGGTGATGAGCTGCTCCAGAGATTCTTTACACAAGTGTAGTCAGTCAGATTCTTGTGCAGTCTGTCAGGTAAGGTCTAGGTGTAAAGTTGCTGTTTGTATTTTTTTAAAAAGCTGTTTGTGTTAAATAAATCATTCAACATCCAAATTCGATCATTCTGTTTCTAGCCTCATTTCTGTCACCAAGTCCATACTTTCCGACTTATTCCTTCTTCCTTGCCAACTGTTGCGTTCCAGTCACCAGTTATCGTGATCAGTGCATCTTGACTGCGTGTTTGGCCACTTTTGGCCTGCAAGATTTGGTAAAAATGTTCATTTTCTCCTCTTTGGCTCTGTAGGACCTGTTAGCGATAAGAATGTGTATTTGAATAATAGACTAATAGGTCTTCCTTGTATGTGTATGGATAATAGCATATCGCTCACAACATGGCACTTCAGAATAAAACTTGAAATTGTCTTTTTTTACTATGAATGTAACACCATTCTCCTTCTGTTTTTCATTCCCAGCATCGTATATCATGCTGATTCAAAGTGGCTGAAGCTAGTCCATCTTATCTTACCAATGCCTAGCATGTTCATGTCTACGCATTCCATTTCATTTTTCACAGCTTCTAGTTTTCCTACATACTTCATACATTCCATGTTCCAGCTAATAAGGAATGTTTGCCGAGACCTGTTAGGTCAAGACAAGATGATAAAACCCATGATGAATGTTTGGGTCGGGTCCAGACTGCCCTGGAGCCTCAGTAAACCGCACTGCCAGCCAGGTAGCACTGTGTTAGCTCTTAGGCTTGCATGACGGGGATCTGTGTCAGTTGGGGCACAAACTGAAGCTTTATGATTTCTCTCCCTTTTGCGCTCTCAGAGGCTAGGGCTGCCTCCTTTCTCTTGCTCTGAAAGCTAAGTTTACTGTTGGCAGGTCCCTGGGCCGAGTGAGACGGGACGGACATCGAAGGACAAGCGAGATGTCTACTCCCGCCTGGCCAAGGAGAATGGCTGGCGTGCCCGCAGTGCTTTCAAGCTACTACAGCTCGATGAAGAATTCCAGCTGTTCCAAGGTGTGAGGCGGGCCGTTGACCTGTGTGCAGCCCCAGGCAGCTGGAGCCAGGTGCTGAGCCAGAAGATCGGGGGTGGGCAGGTAGTGGCTGTGGACCTGCAGGCCATGGCCCCGCTGCCAGGTGTGTTACAGATCCAGGGCGACATCACCCAGCTGTCGACTGCCAGGGAGATCATCCAGCACTTCCAGGGCTGCCCTGCAGACCTAGTGCTGTGTGATGGGGCTCCTGGTATCACCGGCCTCCATGATGTGGATGAGTACATGCAGGCCCAGCTCCTCCTAGCTGCTCTGAATATTGCTACACATGTTTTGAAACCAGGGGGCTGCTTTGTGGCTAAGATATTCCGGGGCCGTGATGTAACACTGCTCTACAGTCAGCTGCGGGTATTCTTCTCCAGGGTGGTGTGTGCCAAGCCCAGGAGCAGCCGTAACGCCAGTATTGAAGCCTTCGCTGTCTGTCAGGCTTATGACCCTCCTGAAGGCTTCATAGCAGATCTGACCAAACCCCTACTGGACCACACTTATGACCCAGATTTCAACCAGCTCGAAGGACCCACCAGGATCACTGTGCCATTTGTGACCTGTGGGGACCCAAGTGTCTATAATTCTGACGACAGTTACCCTTCAGATCTGGAGGAGGACTCAGAATACCAGTATGTGCCGCCCACACAGCCTCACATTTCTCCACCTCACCGAGAGGCCTGCACACTGAATAAGGGGGAGCCGGCCAAGGAGATTCGCCTCCAGGAGACCCCTATCAGTATAGTGGACATGTGGTCCCAACCCCTGGCTGGCTCACCAGACGTGGAAGACAGTGAGTGAGATGAATTGTTCACCTTAACATTTTAAGCTGATTCAACTCCAAAGCTTTTCACTATCAGGAGAGCCAGAACTTGCATTGATGAACTTCACATATCATCATCGTCACTAACAAGGCCTGAACATGAAAGCCCTGAATGAGAGTCTGCAGCAGCCACATAAACAACAGAGGAACATTGCAGAGTGTCCGTCTGCACTGCAGTGGGAATGCTAGAGTGAGGTCATACTTATCCTCTAGGGAAGCTTTTGGAAGGTATCCTAATTACATCCAGAATTTACCCCTAAAATGGATTCTTATCCTAGGTAGAAATCAGGGGTATGCATGAACTTGATGGAGAAAATATTGCATCTTTATTTTCACTAATATAACTGAAGTTGTGTTTCACTTCTTAGTGTGAATGCTGGTGATACGTAACAGTAGTAAAAGCAGTACTTGCAACTCACCAACACAAATTTGTTCTTTTGTGTGTGACATTATAGTTGCTGCCGGTGTCCTGCCCTGTTTTTTCATATCCTTTACTACTTTGAATCATGCTAGATTTTGTTATTTGGTGTACCAATAAAGGAGTCAATATATATATAAAAAAAGAAGGATGTTTGCCACTATTTCATTTTGGTTGACCTCCCGTCTGGCCTCTTCCTCTAATAGAATTATAATCTGTGTTCCTCTACTGTCCATAGGGTTTTCAGAAGTCTATTTAAGAAGTAGATGGCCAGTCCTGTTTCCTACTCTGTCTTTGGAGTGGAATAGTGGGTATCGTTATTTCACTGCTTTGATTACTAAAATACAGAATTTGCTTTAGAGGGAGCTTGGGTGATGTAGTGAGTTGCACTGTTAACCCAAAGGCACAAAGATACTTAGGGGGAAAAAATGGACAGTCTCCTTGAAAACATTTCACAGCCTCAGAAACCCGACCGATCAACTCAGGGGCAGTGAGTGAGTGATGTTCTGGAGAAAGGAGGAGTCTTGACCATCCCATGAATGCGAAGTCTTGGAGAGGGTGAAACCAAGCTGCTCCTTGCAGGCAAGGATTTCGACACTCCATCTCACACACTTTGGGCTTGTTGCCAGGAGGGACCAGTCCTTAGGGAAGGACATCCTGCTTGAAAAGATAGAGGGGCAGCGCAGGAGAGGAAGGCCCCGGATGAGAGGGACTGACACTGTAACTGGAGTAACGGAAGTAGGGGTGTCAGTGAGATTGGCTCAGGATAGGGCAGGCTTCAGAGCTATTGTGCGACTCACTGAGTTGCAAGCAATTTGATGGCACATAACAAAAACAATATTTTAAGATTGTACATATTTTTCATTTCTAAATTTAAAAGGCATTTTGACAAAAAGGGAGAATAATGATGTTAGTGTGAAGAGAAAGGTGCAGTGCCCCTGATTCAAGCCTTCGTATTTGCGTGCATGGCTTATGCACCTAAAAGTTGGACAATGAATAAAAGTGACAGAAGAATCTATGCTTTCGAATTGTGTTGGAGAAGAGTGCCAAGTGACCCATGGACTGCCAACAGAGCAAACAAGTCTATCTTGGATGAAGTGCAACCGGGTGGTCCTTTGAGGCACTGACGGTGTAACTTCATCTCACTTTGGGTACTTTGTTAAGAGGGGAGCAGAAAGCTCAGGTGGCCTAGTAGTTAGAAACTGCCCTGCAATCCCAAAGGCACGTGGTTTTAATCCCCCAGCTGCTTTGCGGGAGAAGGATGGAGGAGCAGTCTCCTATGAGATTTACTGCCACTGGAAGGTCAGCTCTGGGTTGACAGCACACAACAGTCCTTGGAAAAGGACATTGTCGTGGGAAAGGAGGAGGGATAGAGCAAAGAGAAGACCCTCAACAAGATGGATTGACACAGTGACTTAAAGACTGGACTTGGACATATCAGAGTTGTGAGGATGGTATGGGATACGACAGTTCATGTTGGTGGCTCATAGGGTCTCTGAATCTTTTGTTTGTTTGTTTATTTTATTATTTTCGTGTGAGTATACCGTCAAATCAGATCTGACTGGTACAGGAGGAGACTGTCCCTCCTTCCCCAGCAAAGCATCTGGTGGATTTGAACTGTGTGCCTCTGGGATTGTAGTTGGCAGCTCCTTGCCACTAGGCCACCAGAGCTCCCAGGGTCTCTGAATCTTAAGTCAACTCAGTAACACCTAACAACATATAAATGAATGATAGCTTTTAAAGTAAACCTCCATAATTACAGTTTTATACAATAAAATGTGTATGAATGATCAAATGAAAGACCAATAGGATGTATAAACCTTCCTTTAAAAAAAAAAAAGAAGAAACTCCCTGTGGATTTGATTTTCAGTCCTAACATTTACCATTTTGTTGTAGTCAATATCTTGACATTTTATGATGATCATTTCTTTGCTTTCCTTTCATTGCTTTTCCTTTCTCACTCCTGTGTTGTTATGTGTTGTCACTCCTACTCCTCATTGTTGAGTCAGAACCGACTCATAGCCAACCCTCCACTCGGTTTTGGAGGCTGTCTGCAAGGAATGAGGCTGCTCCTACCTCAACCATGAAGCTCTGTAAACAGAGCAAAACACCGGCTGGTCGTGTGCCAGTCTCAGTTGTTTCTGTGTTTCAGTTCATTGTTACAGTCACTGTATCACTCCTCTTAGTTCGATGACTTCCTCTTTTTTGGCTAACCCTCTCCACTTTATCAGATGTGATAGCTTCCTCCAAGGGCTGCATTCTCCTAAAGACACGTCCAAAAACATAAGACAAAGTCTTGCTATCCTCAGTTTATATATTTTTTTATTGTGATTTTAATGAAAGTTTACAGAAAACTTGTATTTCCATTCATTCATTGTTGCACATTTTCCTCCCTGCCCCCCAACCCCAGTTCACGTTTCACTTTAAAAAGGTCATTCATTGTTGCACACATCCTCACCTCTAAGGAGCACTGACTGCACGTCATTGAGTATTCCGTTAGGGGCCATCGAGCCAGTCCTGCCTGACTGTGACCTGAAGTAGAACAGAAGGAAATGCTGTCCATCCCTGTACTGTCTTCAGTCACTGCGCTTAAAAGCATCGATTCTTTGATACTCCATATTCTTTATCCAGCTTGCACTGTGTATGCAGTGATTGGAGAGGGACATTACGCTGGGAGGGTGGAGGGACAGCACAGGAGGGAAGACCCTCGATGAGATGGACTGACTCAGTGACTGGGGTAATGGGGGTAGGGGTGTCAGAGACAGTAAGGTTGGCTCAGGAGAGAGCAGGCTTCAGAGCTGTTGTACACGGGGTCGCTATGATTTGCAAGTGACAAGCGACTCAACAGCATATAACAACAACATGCAGTGATTAAAATACCATCGCTTGGGTCCAGAGAATCTTGGTCCCCAAAGTGACATCCTTGTGCTTTTGCACTTTTTGTTCCAAACACTGCTGTCTGTTACATTTAAAGTAATGGCTCTCAGTGTGAAAAGGGGGGCATTTAAGCAATGAACTGTGACAATGTTTCTTTTATGGGTAAAAGTTACTATAAAAGAAGTCCATGGAAAATTCTAGTAAAAAGGTATAAAAAAGGCACTGCATTTTACAACACAGCATTGTCTAATAGGGATTATTATGAGGATGAGATCTAAACGAACTGAAATAAAATCACCAAACTAGTTCTAGTTAAGAACAGTTTAACTTGTTCCAATTGCTAGGTGGGCTTACTTAAAATTTCTATAAGTAAAAAGCAATGTACCCTTTCCAGACTAAACAAATGCAAAGGATATTAATTTTGTAAGTTACCATGTTAAGAAAACATGATCGAATCAGACAGGTCATTGAACAATTGGTTACAAATTGCTATCAAGATGTCCTCAGGTAGTCTGGGAGGAAACAGTAGCGGAAATATTTTGTTCTAGGTAGGCATTGCTACAAATGTGCTCACACAGCCCTGTCCCCTCGAGCTGCGGCCTGGGTCAGGGTAACACGCAGACCAGAGCAGGTGGCAGGGGACGCCTGGGTCACGACGGCAGAGCTGCTGATTCGGAAGAGCCCATATCCAGGTCGGGTTGCTTGATCGTTACCACTGAGAAGCCACGCTGAGGTGCATCTTGGCTGTCCTCGCCTTCCTGTGTGAGTCGAGGATGTGCTGCAGCTGTGTGTGTGTACTTGATCTTGAGTCCCTGGTGCTTGAAGCTCAGCACCAGCTCCAGCACAGCACCCCACTGCCTGCCGGCTGCAGTTCACATTCCCCCATGGCACCCACAATAGTGGGGTGTGCTCGGATCTTCCCAATGCAGTACATCATTTGATTTCTTGACTGCTGCTTCCATAAGCATTGTTTGTGGATCCAAGTAAAATGAAGTCGTTGGCAACTTTAAACTTTCTCCATTCATCATCATGTTGCATTTGGCTCATGTGCAACCTAAAATACAAAAGTGTACTGTAATTTTAGGGGTAACATACTGAATACTGTAATCTTTCATTTTCCTCACTCAGTGCTTCAAGGTATCTTTATTTTGTGCATTATGTAATTTGTATAAAGTATCAGACTGCCAAGAAAACAAATCAGTCTGTCTTAGGATTTTGAAGCTGCCTCACATATTTGAGACACATGGCCAGGAGAGATCGATCCTTGGAGAAGGACATCATGCTCAGAAGGGTGGAGGAACAGCACAGGAGAAGGAAGACCCCAGATGAGATGGATTGATACAGTATCTGCAGCAATGGGGGCTGGTGTGTTGGAATTAGTGAGACTGGCTCAGGACAGAGAGGGTTCTGTATGGTTACTATATGTCACAGGTGACTCAACGGCACATAACAAACCATACTGGTTATTTAAGCGTCTTTTTTGGAGTCAACAAGACCTTGGGGAGGGCCTTTGTATTTAAAAGTCAGTTGTTAACTATATTTCGGAGGAACATTCTTCTAAGTGGTATAGCACTCTTCTGTCAGTATGCTGTACTGAGGTAACCTGGGGTTGCTGTGATACTGAGCCTTGTACAACTGGGGTATCAAATGTCATACCAGACTAAGGGGCATCTGATTCAGGCTATAATCTTCCCAATCACTTGCTATGCATCTGAGGGCTAGACAATGAATAAGGATGACAGAAGAATTGATGCCTTTGAAAAGCTGTGATGTTGGTGAAGAGTACTGAATATCCCATGGACTTCCAAAAGAACAAATAAATAGTCTTTGAGAGGGTGCAGCTAGAGTTCTCTTTGGAGGCAAAGATGATAAATAAAGCTGTCTCCCCCATACTTTGGACATGTTACTAGGAGAGGCTATCCCTTGGAGAGGAACATCATGCTTAGAAAAGTGGAGAGTCAGTGAAAGAGAGAAAGACCCTCAGCCAGACGGACTGACACAGTGACTGCTGCTATGGGCTGGAGTGTGTCAGGAGATGTGACGATGGCACAGGATAAAACAGGGTTTAGATCTGTTGTTCACAGAGTCACTAAGGGTCAACTTGGCTCAATGACACCTAACAACATACAGCTTTGGCCATTTTTATTATGTTCACTGCTGTATCTGCCTTGCTAATGTGACATAGGCTTCATGTCAAATTACCTGAACCATTTTTATTAAAGTTGTTGTTGTTAGCAACCCTGTGAACGAACAAAAATCTAAACCCTGTTCTGTCCTGCACCATTCTTCTTCCCCTTCACTGACCCTACGCCCTTCCCAACATCACGTCCCTCTCCAATAGCACCTCCTAGCAATATGTCCAAAGTATGTGAAGCAAAGCCTCATCATTCTTGCCTCCAAAGAGCACTCCAGATACACCCTCTCAAAATATATCTATTCGTTCTTTTGGCCATCCACAGGATGTTCAATGCTCTTCTCCAACACCACAGCTCAAAGGCGTCAATTCTTTTTCTGTCATCCTTATGCACTGTCCAGGTCTCAGATGCATAGCTAGTAATCAGAAAGACTATGGCCTGAATCAGATGCACCTTAGTCTTCAAACTGACATCACTACTCCTCAGTAATTTGGAAAAGTCCCTAACTGCAGATTTTCGCAGTGCAACGGGTCTCATTTCCTGACTGCTAGTACCACAGGTGTTAACTGTGGATCCAAGCAAGATGAAGCTGTTGACAGTTTCAATCTCCTCTCCATCCATCATGACACTGCCTACTGGTCTAGTGGTAAGAATCTTTGTTTTCTTGATATTGAGACAGTCCATACTGATGGCTGCATTCCTTGATCTTCTGCAAAAAGTGCTTCAGGTCCTCCTCAATATCAGCAAGTAAGGTTGTGTCATCTGCATAATACAGGTTACTGAAGAGTCTCCCTCCAATCCTAATGCCACATTCCTCTTCATAGAGTCCAGCTTCTTGGATAATTTGCTCAGCATATAGATTGAACAGGTATGGAAATAGAATACAACCCTCTCACTTCACAATGCCAAACCATGCAGTGCTCCCCTGCTCCATTTGTTCTGATTAACTGTATCTGGTCTCATTTATAGTCAGCTTGGGTGGGAAGCCTCTTGTGTAGGCAAACATGATCTGGTGGGTGGGCCTCTGTATTTAAAAGTTGGTCTGGTCCTGCCTATTAGTGAGCCTTTATCTTGGCATAGTTGGATCCTGGCAGGCGTTTGTGATTTACTTGAAAGATGAGGGTAAACTGTTTGGTATCAATTATGTTTGGAGAGAACACTGTTCTAAGAGGTGCAGCACTTGTCTGTCAGTTTGCTGTACTGAGTTTACTTGGGATTGTTGTGATACTGAAATCTTTGCCACTGGTGTGTCAAATTCTAAAAGGGTTTCCCATCCTTTATGAGTTTTGGTAGAGCTTCCTGATTAAGACAGACTAAGAAACAGGATAGGCCATCTACTTCCTAAATAAAAGGCTTTTGAAAACCCTGTGAACATATATGAAAGTTAACAACAGTTAAAAATCTGCAGTCTTACACGGGGCTTTGTCAGCAGAAGTAACTCTGGGTTTTCTGAATTGAATAGCATGTTTCCTTTGATTCCTTTCCCTCATATCCAGCAAGGATGTGTAGATCATCCATGATGTTACTGGTAAATATCAACAATATTTTATACATACGAACAGAAGTACAGTTGTCAGGAATTTAAGCTTCAAAACCAAGTTGATCTGAAGTCTGACCTTGGCTTGCAACATTCCACATGCAACATTGCAACATTGAGAATGTGGTTATCTGTAAATTTACTCAATTATGAACTATTTGAAATAATAGAATCTGCTTAGGAATAACATATGGAGACAGATATATAAAACCTTTTATAAGTTCCAGTTACTCAGTACAAGGAACATTTTATCATTAGTATATTTTGAGTTGAAAAGGATTTGTATTACTTTGAAATATGTAGACCATCCATGGTAGTTGAGGTGACTTTGGCTCTGGCTCCGTCTGGGACACCATCATAGCAGGATTCATCACCATTTCCTTGACAAGAAGGCACTTCTTGCTATAAAGGTCTGCTCTGTTGTAACACCCAAACTGTAATTCAGCAACATTTTCCTTTTCACTACAAGAGGAAGGCAACAGACTGATGCTGCTTCACAGAGGTTATTCTTACAGACCACTGAATTTCACTGGTCTAGGTGCAGTGTTCATACGCATATATTCCTTCCAATGTCTGGAAATGTGAGAATTTTGGAGGTCTACTTTGTAAGCCTGTTTCCTAAACATCATGGTTCAATGGCAGTCAAGTAATCTCACCTGCTGCTTAAACTTACAAAATTCATGTTTTTTGGTGAAATTTATATTTAATAAAACATCTGTCAGTTCAACAGTTTACATGTATAAAATTGTCACATTGATTATATGTCGTGTTTTGCAGTTATTAACAATATTTGCATAATAGCCTTGTGGCCTTGATCAGCAAATTCAAGGGTATATTGTTCTTATTTCTGCAGACTTACTGCTATGTTTTCTAACTGTTCTAAGGGAAATTAAATAAAACTTCAGTTGTCCAGAGTCAAACCGGAGAGATTATTTCATTGCTTCCAGTTTGTAAGAGGGGGTACAGTCAGGAAAGTGGTCCTTGCTAGCTCTACTACAGAGTTGACATTTGGTAGACAACAGACCCGTGGCAGATATTCTATGAAGTTTCAGTCCCCAGAACTATCACCCTCACGCTCTGCTGTGGTACACATGATACCTTGCTAATCCAGAACTTATGGTATGTTTTAGGACTCAATGGTTGCTGAGGATGTGGCCGTGGACTTTACACAGGAAGAATGGGCTTTGCTAGATCTTGCACAGAGGAAACTCTACAGAGATGTAATGATGGAAACTTTCAGAAACCTAGCCTCAGTAGGTAAGAGTGGTGTCATTATTATTGCTTTGGAGAACAAAGGCTGTTTTACTCATCAAATTTGCTTCATTATTTGGAATGAGGAATGGGAATACATTATTAAATAAAATAGCTGTGGCTCCTTGGTCTCTCGAGCTCATACCCCCTGGCTTCCCATAAATTATAAATTTTAATTTCTCTCGTGATTAAGTCTTCAGACTTAAATGTAAATAAAAACATAAGCATTTGATTCAAGTTCACTGTAAACCACTGGGAGATTTGTAGTTTGTGATCTTGTAGAGTTTTATTGTATTTAATAGAGTTTGACATTATTTTTTTTTTACATTATTATTTTGCTACAGGTAAACTATACATATGCTCTTTCAGAGATACAGAAAAGAAAAAAAAAAGAGATACAGAGAAGCAAAGTATTGACTCAATTTCAAGGAAATATTCCTTGCTTTGCACTGCCTACCCCTGTGATATACATTGCTTGACAAACACTGTGTCAACTATACACATTTGTTTTCTCAAAGAAGCAGGGAATAGATTTGAGGACAGTGTACATGGCTCATCCACAGTCTCATGTCAGGAAGTCCTAGAGAAACAAGGCTTTTTTTTAAAGGACCAGCCCTAAATGGAGAGAAAGATATTTGAATCAATCAATAATTTGAATCCAGAAAAGTCTCTTTTGGGTTAAGGACACTATATCACAGATACCTGAGCTTCCTTTCAGACTCTCTCAGTCCTCTCATACCTGTAGTCACAGAGATCCTTCTCCTCTTTTAGTGTTACATGTATACTGTCTCCAATATTTTTTTACTTTGTTCTCATATTATACCTATTTATGTTATTGTCAAATCAATCATCATGGACATACTTAGCTAGCGAATTTCTTTGGCCAATTCTCTGTTCACAGCAGTCTTTTTCGCCCTCCTAATTAATGTCCTCTTTGTTTCATATTGTGAACCTCAACTTGAATGACTGAGTCAGTTTCTCAAAACCTTAATGAAGGAGAAGAGTTATCCAGTGAACATTTAATGTTGGAATTCATGAAGAATAACACCACCTGGTCCTCCATACTAGGAGAATTCCCTGAATCATGTGGCAATAATAATGAGTATGTAAAACAGGGAGGACATTTGAGGTGAGTATCATTCAAACTGAAAAGAGAAGAAAATTCCAAGGTGCCATGACATCAAAACACACTTCAGGGTGTCTCTGTGTGTACACATCTATGTTTTTTTATATGCAAACATAGTTGTAAGATGATGTGTTCAGAAAATTTTCACAAAACAACATTTTCCTAAATCTTAGATATCAAATGTTTGAAACATATTTCACTTGGAAAAAATATCATATTTTAGAAAACCAGTGAGAGTAATGGGTGTATTTCTTTTACGTGATCTAAGCTACGCAACAGTAGACAAGTCAGAGGAAAATCAAGACACCTTCACTATGTTTGGTAATGGTGAATGGGAACAAATTTCTTTCCAATAACATGTTGTCTATTCTTAACAGGAGTCTTACAGTACAGAACCTCTATGAAAGTAATCAGTGTGGGAAAACCTTTAGCTGGATTCCAAATCTAACTATGCTGAAAAGACACCCATCACAAGTAAATCCTTTTGAATGCTTTGAGTGTGAAAAAACCTTCATGGACCACTCATCACATAAACATCATTCAAGACTTCACATGGGATGTAGTATCTGTCAGTGTAAAGAATATGGAAATGCTTCCAGTTGCCCCTCTTACCTAACCACTCCAATGACAGCTCTTACTGAAAAGAAACCCCATAAATGTAAGGTATGTGGGAATGACTTCATTTCTATGTCAACTCTTAAGAACCCTGTGACAGCACTCACTGCTGGGAAATATTATGACTATAATGAAGGTGGGAATGATTTCTCTAATTTCTCAAACTTTTGGACACATGTAAACATTCATAAGCATGAATTTAAAGACTGTTGTGAAACCTGTAGTTATCCTCCATCTCTCATTTTACATAAAAAATTTCGTAACAGAGAGAAGCCTTATGAATGTAAGGAATGTGGGAAAGCCTTTAGTGAGGCCTCATCCCTCACACAGCATTTCAGAATTCACAGTGGAGAGAGGCCTTATGAATGTAAGGAATGTGGGAAAGCCTTTAGTCAGTCAGCACACCTCACGACACATATACGGACTCACAGTGGCGTGAGGCCTTATGACTGCAAAGTCTGTGGGAAAGCTTTCACTCAGGCTTCATCCCTCACTAAACATATAAGAACACACAGTGGAGTGAGGCCTTATGAATGTAAGGAATGTGGAAAAGGCTTTAGGTGTTCCTCACACCTCACTCAACATGTAAGAATTCACAGTGGAGAGAGGCCTTATGAGTGTAAGGAGTGTGGGAAAGCCTTTAGGTGTTCCTCACATCTTACTAAACATATAAGGATTCACAGTGGAGAGAAGCCTTATCAATGTAAGGAATGTGGGAAAGCTTTTAGTGATTCATCCGTCCTCACTACACATATAAGAACTCACAGTGGAGAAAGGCCTTATGAGTGTAAGCAGTGTGGGAAGACCTTTTGTCAGGCCTCACAGCTCACTACACATGTAAGAACTCACAGTGGGGAGAGGCCGTATGAGTGTAAGGAGTGTGGAAAAGCCTTTAGTGATTCCTCAGCCCTCACTATACACATCAGAACACACAGTGGAGAGAAGCCTTATGAATGTAAGCAGTGTGGGAAAGCTTTCAGTAATTCCTCAGCCCTCACCACACACATAAGGACCCACAGTGGAGAAAAGCCTTATGAGTGTAAGGAGTGTGGGAAGGCCTTTAGTTGTTCCTCACACCTCACGGAACATGTAAGAACTCACAGTGGAGAGAGGCCATATGAATGTAAAGAATGTGGGAAAGTCTTTAGACAATCTGCAAACCTTACTTCTCACATAAGAACTCATCGTGGGGAGAGGCCTTATGAATGTAAGGAATGTGGGAAAACTTTTGGGAGTTCTTCCCACCTTACTAGGCATAAAAGAACTCACAGTGGAGAGAAGCCCTACAAATGTAAAGAATGTGGGAAAGCCTTTAGCGATTCTTCAGCCCTCACTAAACATACAAGAATTCACAGTGGAATCAGGCCTTATGAATGTAAGCAATGTGGGAAAACTTTTAGTCAGACCTCACACCTCACTTCACATTTAAGAACTCACAGTAAAGAGACTGTCCTGTGTCAACCATGGGATGTGTCATTTTTACTGCTATAATTTAAACAGCAAAGTTATCAAAGTCATAGATTAAAGAGGAAAGTTTCTCAGTAACAAAACAATAAACTGAAAGGATTCATTGAAGCTACTATATGCCTTTGGGAGAAATGACAGTTTCATTGTAACTGCAGGATTATCCTCATCAGTGTTTGTTACTTTCATAACCAAGCGAAATTTTCTTTCTTAACGTCTTTGGCTATTACTGATAGGCTGCAGGGAATAGCCTTGAATAAGTATTGATTCCTAAGGAAATGATTTATTGATGTCACTTTGCATACAATAAAATACACTGATCCTGGATTTGGTTTCAGGGTCTTTTGTTAGCATGTTTGTCATACTCTTTTCCATTATTTTCTGCTACTAGAATACTTTTTAAGAAGCTTTGATGATATAGTACATTGCTTGTTGGATTATTAACCATAGAGTCAGCAGTTTGGGCCCACTAGCTCCTAGGGAAAAAAATGGGCAGTTTCCTCCCATAAAGATTTATACCCTTGGGAAAGCAATAGAGAGAGGCAATGTGAGTTAGAATTGACTCAACAGCAGGATTGGTTTAGGTTTTATATTACCCATTTTAATGAGTAAGTTTCTCACAGGGAAGTACTCTAAGACTATGAATTCTCTTTTCATCATATTTTGGTCTGTTGTTGTTGTTATGTGCTGTTGAGTTGCCTGCGACTCATAGCAACCTTATGTACAACAGCCCTAAACCCTGTTCTGTCCTGTGCCAATCTCACAGTCTCTGACACAACCATCCCGATTACCCCAGTCACTGAATCAATCCCCCTCATAGAGGGTCTTCCCCTCCTGCGCCGTCCCTCCACCCTCCCAAGCATGATGTCTTTCTCCAAGGACTGGTCCCTCCTTGCAACATGTCCAAAGTATGTTAGACAGAGCCTCAGAATCTTTGCCTCCAAGGAGCAGCCTCGTTTAAGCCTTTCTAGGATGAACCTGTTCGTTTTCTTAGCAGTCCACAGTATCAAAGGCATCAATTCTCCTTCTATCCTCCCTCTTCATTGTCCAAATCTCTGACTCATAGCAAGTGATTGCAAAGACTATGGCCTGTATCAGATGCACCTTTGTCTCCAAAGTGACACCACTGCTCCTTAGTACCTTGGAGAGGTCCCTAACAGCAGACTTTTCCATCACAATACATCTTTTCATTTCCTGGTTGCTGGTGCCAACAGTGTTGACTGTGGAGCCAAGCAAACTAAAGCTGTGAACAATCTCAATCTCTTCACCATTCATCCTGATGCTGCCAGTTGGCCCAGTGGTGAGAATCTTTGTCTTCTTGATATTGAGCCTCAATCCATATTGAAGGCTGCAGTCCTTGAACTACTGCAGCAAGTGCTTCAGGTCCTCCTCAGTTTCAGAAAGTAGAGTGGAGTCATCTGCATAACACAGATTGTTGATGGATATTCACCAATACTGATGCCAGACTTCTCTTCATACAGCCCAGCCTCCCGGCTAATCTGTTCTGTATATAGGTTGATTAGGTAGTTTGGTCTACTAATGTTATAAATCATTTGTCTTAGGCTGGGTGCTCTAGTGAAGCAGAACAAATAAATGGAAGGTGTATTTGTATATACATGTAAGAGTTCTATGCAAAAGAAGTGATTCAAATACTTGAAGGGATGGCAAGTCCTAGGTCCACAGCATACAGCAGAAGCTGATAATCCAATGTCAGCATATAATACAAGCCTTGATCCAAAGAACCAAAGAGGTGAAGAGCCAGTTGAGTTGCAAGATTGATCAAAAAAGTTAGCCAGGTCTGCCAGACTTCCTCATATACTAAATGTTGGCCACCCCTCAGTTAAACTCCCCCTCAACTGACTGACCTCCCATAGAACATCCTATCAAAGCAATGGTTGACTGCATTATAGTAAACTTCATCAAGAGAATGACTATACCACAGTTGCCAAACCAGAGAATCATAGGTAATGTAACAAGAGTGGAGATCACAGACACTTGGAGCATTTCCTTTTGTAAATTATTTATGCCTTTGAGTCCTGCTCAAGTTCATTCTCCTATGTACCAGTTACGTTTAATGATTGCTACTGTGCGTGTCTAATTTGAATGATTAGGCCACAAAGTGACTCAGCCCATGGTTAGTCAGTCATTCTCTAATAAGATTCAGTAGTACCTAGCCAAAAGTTATTTCTCAGAAAGAGAGGCAGAGGATGGTAGGACTTTGCTCCAAAGTCCCTAAGGTTCTGCACCATTATTCACCATAGTGTACTGACCAAGACTTGATAATATGGATCAAGGGGCAGAACAGCTTCACACCAACCAGAACCTGTTTTGGAGTTTTCCATTATTCTGGGACCCACTCAGAACTAGGAGTTTTTCTAAGATCCTTGACAAATACACCAATTAAGAGTGATTGATAAATACCTCAAAGAAGTTCACCTAGTGGTGTGCCTTCTCACTGTTTTGTGTCATTGTATTGACTCAAACTCATGTCAGTCCTTTGTATGTTAAATCAAAACCCTTATCAATCCTGTGCCATCCTCAGTCTTAGCTGTTTAAGCCCCTATTGTTGCTACTGTGTTAAGCCATGCCATTGACGGGCTTCTCCTTCACCATCCTTTTCTAAGGACAGACCATCTCAATAACATGCCCGAAGTGTATGAGACAAAGTCTCACAATCCCCACCTCTAAATAACACCATCTCAATACCATGCTCGAAGTGTATGAGACAAAGTCTCACGATCCCCGCCTCTAAATAACACCCTGGCTATACTTCTCCCAAGACAGAATTGTCTGTTTTCTTGGCTGTCCATAGTATACTCATCACTCTTCGCCACCCCAACTCCTTATTCAATGCATATGAAGTGCTAGAAAATACCATGTCTTGTATCAAGCACACCTTAATTTTTAAACTGACCAAATGCAGTAACACCTCACTTTTGGTGGAATATCTCAATTTGCACCATACCACTGGATTCCTAGAAATTTCAGTGAGGTGGAAGGTGCCAGAATTTTTATTGAGTTTATTTCTCACCATCTTACATGTAAATGTCTTACCAATAAGTCTAGAATCATTGACACTACTGCCTTATTAGGGTCAGTTAGAATAATGTCTTTAATGTAATGGACCAGTGTGACATCTTGGAAAGGAAAGGTGATGTGGCTAAACTATGACATAATGCTGGAGAGTTGATTTACCCCTGTAGTATAGTAGTAGAAGTTTAGCTGGCTCTATTAACTGAAGGCAAACTGGTTCCGATGACACAAAGACACTGGCCAGCTCATACCTGGATATCAGATATCAGGAGATGTATTTATTTACTCATACAATGAAGCCACATCTGGAACAGCAAGTGCAACTGGAAGTTTACAAAAATCAAATGTCATTCTCCACAATCTGTTTTCTGCACATGCCAAATTGTTGTTATGTGGAGCTGTTTGCGACTCGTAGCAACCCTATGTACAGCAGCCCTAAACTCTGCTCTGTCCTGTGCCAATCACACTCTCTCCGACAGACCCACCCCAATTACCCCAGTCACTGAATCAATCCACCTCATAGAGGGCCTTCCACTCCTGTGCTGTCCCTCTACCCTCCCAAGCATGATGTCCCTCTCCAAGGACAGGTCCCTCCTTACAACATGTTCAATGTATGTCAGATGAAGCCTCAGAATCCTTGCCTCCAAGGAGGCGCCCGTTTTAACCGTCTCCGGGATGAACCTGTTTTTTGTTTTCCTAGCAGTCCATGGAACACTCACTACTCTTCTCCAGCACCACAGGTCAAAGGCATCAATTCTCCTTCTCTCCCTAGTCATTGTTCTACTCTGAGCATAGCAAGTGATTGCAAAGACCATCCAGACTTTACCATCGCAATATGTCTTTTCATTTTCTGGCTGCTGGTGCCAAGAGTGTTGATTGTGGAACCAAGCAAACTAAAGCTGTGAACAGTCTCAATCTCTTCACCATCCATCCTGATGCTGCCAATTGGCCCAGTGGTGAGAATCTTTGTCTTCTTGATATCGAGCCTCAATCCATATTGAAGCCACTTGACCCTCTGCAGCAAGCGCTTCTGGTCCTCCTCAGTTTCAGCAAGCAGGGTTGTGTCATCTGCATAACGCAGATTTTTGATAGATTTTCTACCAATCCTGATGCCACATTTCTCCTCATAGAGCCCAGCCTCCCAGATAATCTGTTCTGTATACAGGCTGAAAAGGTATGGAGATAGGACACATCCCTGGCATACGCCCTTCCCAATTTTGAACCAAGCAGTGTTTCCCTGCTCTGTTCTGACGACTGCCTCTTGGTCCAAGTATAGGTTTCACATTAGCACGATCAAGTGTTCTGGGATTTCACTCTTCTCAGAGTCAGCCACAGTTTGTTATGATCCACACAAACACCTTTGCATAATCAATGAAACAAAGATAGACATTCCTCTGGTATTCCCTGCTTTCAGCTAAGATCCATCTAACATTAGCTACACTATCCCTAGTACCACAACCCCTTCTAAACCCAGCCTGGACTTGCAGCAGTTCTCTGCTGATGTGCTGTTCCAGTCGTTTTTTTTTTATAATCTTCAGTAGAATCTTGCTTGCATGTGAAATCAATGATATTGTTCTATAGTTTCCACACTTTGTTGGGTCACCCTTCTT